GAGGACAAGCCTTCCTGCCACTTATCATAACGTGCAATTACTGACTTGTTTGTTTACTTGTTTACTACCTGTCTTCTCCAGATGACAGTAAGCTCAATGGAGCATCTCTTTTAATGAGCTATGTGTTACCCAGTGCCTGAAACAGGGCCTGGCATGAAACACTCCCCAGACTGTATGCTGGCTGCTGTGTCTCTCAGCAGGACTGGCCTTAGCCATTCCAACATGATCGGGTCCACAGGTCCCTACCGCCCAGCAAAAAGCCCAAATGCCTAATTAGCATTCAGGGCCCTCCAAGTTGTGCTGTATCCACTGAGCTCTCCAATCCATGTTTTAAATCATCTTACACCTGAGCTTTCCAAACTGGGGTTCATCTACACCTGGATAACTAGGTAGGCACAATCAGGATGAGTGCAGTGCCTCTCCCCGGATCCTAGATTGTGCCAGACGAAGTGGAACTGTGGTGGACACATGGGGGGACCCTTCTAGGCCCCGCCCCTCTTCTCTGAGAAGTGCACCCCTCCCACCTCTCCACAGTGTGTAGATCTCTATGCCATGTTTACCCTGCCTGCATCTACTCCTCCATGGCCTCTGTGGATGAAACCAGGGTGGGGACCCGGCTTCTGGAAGCAATCCAGAACTGGCCCAGGCCATTAGCCTCTCTGCCAAGAACTTGGATATGGCACAGCAGACTAGCTGGATTCCCTTTAGGGGCTGGACCAGTGTGGTCGCATGAATGTGGGGGCTGAAGGTGCCTGTCTTCCCCAGAAGACAGTGTTATACCTTTGGGGGTCTGTGTGATGACAAGTGACTAAAAGCACCGCTCAGATAGTGCAGAAAGATACAGAGGCAAGAGACAGAGAGAATGATGAGGCAGCCACCTTTGTTTCTGACCGACTTCCCAGCCTCCACGGAGGCCCTGGGGAGTTTCCAGCCTCCAGTGAGGCCCTGGTGAGGTCTCCTGTTGCTGACAACTCCTCAGCCCCTGCAGCACCTCTGGTTCCTTAAAACAAATCTCCCCACCACGTAAACCAGCTTGAGAGGGGTTCTAGGTTTTGTACACACCATCTCTACAACTACAAATTTCTATTATTTTCTTGTAAAACAAATACAGACCAAGCAGAATGTAAAATTCACAAGACTATGAAGAATTAAGAATAAAGTCCTTTCTAAACAAGATTCAAAAAAAGCAAAAGTCACAAAGGAAAAGATGGATTCCACTCCAGTAAAATTTAAACCTGTGGATTGTAAGACATGATTCCAATGCAGGCAAACAGTCCTCCCCACTACCACTCCCCCCTGGGTAGTGTATTCCTCTCCGAGGGCACACACTGGGGCACGTGCACACACTGGGGTGCGCGCACACCTCCCCAGCACGTGCCTCTGGGGAGAGTAGAGGGATTGTGAGACATAGTCAGAGGTGACTTTAGACTTTTCAGCTATGTTTGTAAATTTTTTAACGAAAAATTATTATCTTTTGTATAATTAAAGCTTCATCAAATCTCTCTCTCTATATATATAGATATATGTGTGTGTGTGTGTGTGTGTGTGTGTGTGTGTATATATATATATATATATATATAAAACACAAGCCTTGGAAGACCTCCTGCTTATGGTGGGACTGCTTCACTCGAGACCCACTAGGAGACAGAAGTTGACTACCAGTGTGAGATGCATGACACTGGTCCAGTGTGAGATGCATGAGACCATGACACTGGTCTCAGCACTGGTCCAAATGGCTTACTTGGTTCCTGAATATGCTTTCCCCCCACTATTCTCAAGAAGTTCTTCACTTAATAAAGTTCTTCCTGCCCTGGCTGGTGTGGCTCAGTGGATTGAGCAGCCAGAGAACCAAAGGGTCGCTGGTTCGATTCCCAGCCAGGGTACATGCCTTGGTTGCAGGTCAGGTTCCCTGTTGGGGGTATGCAAGAAGCAACCAGTTGATGTATCTCTCACACACCGATTTTCTCTCACTCTCGTTCTCCCTCCCTTCCCATCACTCTAAAAATAAATAAGTAAAATCTTGAAAAAAAATAAACTTCTTCCCTCCTTCAATACCCATCTAGAAGTGTCACTTCCTCCAGGAAGCTCTCCCTGATTGTACCAATCCTCACTGCTCTCTCCCTGCCCCACTTATTGGCCTCTTATGGTAGTGACTATACCTTTCTCTGGGCACTCAAGACAGATTCCTCGGGTTCCTACTTATCTCCCTAAGATAGGCCACATCTCCCCATCCAGCCAGTAAAAGAGAACAGCATCTTAATGTCCTTGGTACCTAGCATGGAGACGGCATGGAGGAATGGACAGGCCTTAGAGTCAGACAGACCCACTATGGGACACAAGGCAGCTGCCTCACCCTCCCTGGGCCCATTTTCACTTGTGTCATTGTAACCATCAATTAGATGATGGATGTAAAGGGTCCAGGACAGGAAAAAGGTGGTCGACAGGATGATGACCTGTCTTCTTAAGGTTCTCTCATATTTCTACAGTGTTGCACAATTAAAAACAAAAAACTTTAACAACCCAGAGAGGTAAGCAAGGAGGGATGAGCAAACCCATTTTGAGCTTAAAATAACTGAGGTTCAGAGAAGTGACATGGGGAAGACAGGCAGCTGGACTTTAGAAGGAAAGAGAATAGGACCAGGGGTTAGAACATCTGGGCAGAAATGCCAGAGTTCTCCCCCTACCCAGCGGTGGGAGCTTGGACTATTTCTTGTCCTCTTGGCACATCAGTTTCCCCATCTCAAATAAGAGCCTTCCTAGGTGGTCTCTATCTTGAAGGATTCCTCCACGCTGGTATTCTAGGTTCCTGTGACCTGCCCAGGGCCCTTCCCAGCAGGGCTGCAAAAGAGGGTTGCAAGTCCCAGGACAGAGACTACCAGGAAACCAGCTGGGATTGGAAGACCTGATTTAAGAATCAGTTGCATTTTGATTCAGCCAAATTCAACCCCCTTCAAGCCTGGGGGTAGGTTAGTCATGCCCAGAAAAGGAGAAGGGAAATGCCAGCTTCAAACGACATGTAAATATAAACACAAATGCAAAACCAAACAGGAAACTTCAGGAAAGTCCAATCCAAAGGTCAGATTCTAACTTTTGGGGAAGTGAAGTGCTGGAGAGGAAAGCTGTGTTTGGGTGCCACGGGCTCGCTGTTGTGGCAATGAACCTTGTGTACACCACACCAAAGTCCCAAAGGCAAAGGAGACCCGGTTTTGTCGGGACTGAACTGGGGCAGAGCTGAGCCCTGACCTGGGCCTGCTTCGGCCCCCAGGCCCATCCCAAGGCCTCCCCCAGCCCCTCCAGGCCCACGCAACTGCTCACTCGCACCAAGCCAGGCGAGGGCAGATGCACGGGGATAAATGGCCATTTCTGTCCCTGATGAAGGGTTCATAGTACAGCCTCTTCTCCTGCTCTGGCTCTGACTTAACATTTTAATGAACAACCCAGAGAGGAATGTGAACTGTGACAACCCCAGGGGTACCGATGACAGTGAACTCTTCTGGGTCATGAAATGTGAGACTATGGAGACCAACCTCAGAGCGCTGTCCCCTTGGGATGAGGCTCTGTGGCAGTTTTCCTGTTAGCCTCGTGGTAAAAGACAATTCATATTCTTAGGTGGTGGACTCCAAACTACCGGTTCTGCCCAAGGAAGGAAGCCAAAGATCATCGACTGCCTGCCTCTCATTTAAATTGGAACCTGTATCCCTACTACACGCAAAGCACTAGGCTGGACTCTGTGAGGGAAATGAACAAAAGAGACCCAGGCACTGGCTAAAGCGGTCCATCAGTTAACCTGATCATCATTCCATTGATCAAGACGCATGCCTGACGTGCATTGCCTCGTGTAATACCACAGCCCTGTAAGGTAAATATTATTATCTCCATTTTACAGATGCCAAAAGCAGGGCTCAAACAAATCAGGTCACATGCCCAAGCACACACAGCTGGCAAACTGCAGAGCCAGAATTTGAACTCAGTCTGCCTCCCCCAGAGTTGGTGCTCTTTCCACAATCCTCCATCACCCACGACAAAGAGCCAGACACAGACTCTGAGACGGGGGTTCCGCCTGCCAGAGGAAAGGGAGAAGAGAAATTTTCCAAGAGACTGACTCAGGGTATCATGAACTACTGAGCTTTGTATCAGCCATACAGTAGGTGCTCAATACTCTTCCGGTGAAGGATGGAAGGTGAGAGGCATGGCTGAAGTCCAAAACATCACCCAAATTCAAGGCATCCTCTGAAAGGGAGCTGCAAAGACACATTTTTTCTCTTTTGGCCCAGAGCTGCAGGGTGTCTGCCCTAGAATATTCCCTGCAGGGGAAGCCCGGGAAAGTGCAGCAGGTCGGAGAGGAATGAACTCCGAAGAGCAGGGGAATGGGGTGGGGCAGCCTGTAGGGGTGAAAGAAAAGGCCTGGGACTCGCTGCTGGGAAAGACAAAGAGGAGAGGGGAGGGAGGTGGAGACTAGAAACTTGCCAACAGCCAGGCCAAGGTGAACCCCGTCTCCTGGCGCCTTCTCATTCGCATTCATTCCACAAACCCCGGCCAAATCTCAGAGCCAGCAGCCAGGGGGAGGGGGCCTCCCTGTAGCCGGGGAAGAAGTAAGTTCATGACTGAGGCGGGAAGGCCTGCTTCCCAGAAGGGGAGTAACTTGGGAGCCAGACTTGTGGGGCTCCGAAGATGGAAATCCAAACAGATGTAGTGAGGAGCTGAGCAAGCACATGCGATGGTGCAGGGCACCAACAGCATGGGGGGTATGTCCCCCACCTGAGAAGTCTGTTATCGAGGGGACCTCGAGGCCCCCCCCACAAACAGTCCCTCCAGCCCTCCCCAAGGCCTCGACGGCGAGTGAAGGCGCGGATGTTTGAGATGCACTCGGTTCTCACAGATCTAGGGAGGGAGCAGGTTTCTGGGAAGCGGTAAGTGCCAACACAGCTCCGGTCACGCCAGTGAACTTCAAGGCGAGGCCCTGCAGGGACCCGGGACCCTTCCCTCCTCAACCCCCTCACCTCCTCCCGCGCCAGTGCCGCCCCCCGGCACCGGGACATCCTGGCGGCGAAGGCGGCGGCCCCGGCCGGGGAGCTGAGGTCCTCGGCGGTGACGGCCAGGAACTCTGCGACGCTGAGCTGCTCCGGCATGGTGGGCGCGGGGCGGGGGCTCCGGGGCTGCGGGAGTGGGGTGCGGGGCGCAGAGCGTGCTTGATACTCAGAGCTTAGCTGGCCTCACTGCACTCTGCGGGCGCCGTCCAGGCCTCCGCACGCCCCACCTCCTTCGCGCCGCCCCGCCCCTGACTGCCTGAGCCGCGTACCGCCAAGTTCTCCGGCGTCCCGGGAGCCCCGAGCTTCCCCACCCAGTCCTCTTCTCCGCCCCGCCCCGGCCTTCGAGCCTCCCTTCCCAGCTTTGCCGGAACAGCCGTCGCAGGCCCTACTCTGGGCTCCTCAGCCCCGCCCCCTGGCCTCCCAGCCCCTGAGAGCTCGGCCCCTGGCTCATTGCCCCGCCCCCGACCTCCCGCAGGGCTGCTCGGCCCCGCCCCTTGCCCTTCGGCCCCGCCCCCGACCTCTCTTTCGAACCTCCCCCGGCCCGGAGCCGCCCTCCGGGCCCCTCCACGATCCATTCTTTTTCTTTCCTCCCCTTGGCCTCCCAAATCTTTCTCTTTTCCCATCCGCCTCCCTTCGTTTCCATCCCCTATGGCCACGTCCCTTAAGCCTCCACCCCCACCGCCACCCCAAGCCTTGCTGGCATCCTTGTCCCGCTCTACCCGGAATCGCCCCATTTCTCCCTGGGTCCACGCACCCAGCTGTCAGCCTCCGGTTCCCTGCGCCGTCGGGGCCGCCCATCCTCCTTTAGGCTCGGCCCCCCAGCCGAGTGCCCGGCCTCCAGGGTCTGTGTAGCTAGGCGCCCCGGGGTAACTGTGTGATCCTGGCAAAATGCGATTCCTTCTTGGAACCTCTCCTTTTTTGCAGAATGGGAGGTCTGATGTTCACTCTGTTATAATGTTGCGAGAAAAAAAATCTAACACGTGCATTTACCCAGTAAGTGCTCGGTAACCCTCTCTTCACCTGGCCTTCTCACCCACCCCCTTCTTTCTTCCTGGGCTTAGTCTGGTGCCTTTCACCCCTCAACTCCCCGTCACTGTCCCTACCAGGCTAAAGGTGGTCACTCCTAGCCATGCACTAACTTCTTCCTCTTGGGAACTACCTGTATCTTTGGATGGATGACAGATGGGGTCTGAACAGAAATCTGCTTTGATTTAGTTCTGGACCCGGAGGCCCTCTTGAAAAGATTCCTTCAGGTGAATGATCAGGGAAGCACTGAGGTGCAGAACGCTGGCCTTGGAGTGTGCTACATCTAAGTTCCCATCCTGGTGCTGCTGTTGACCAGCTCTGGGCAGCTGGGGAAACTGTTTGCTTCTCTAAGGCAGAATGTCTTCTTAAAATGGCCAATCGTATTCTACCCCATAAGGTGATTGAGAGAATTGTATAGTTTGCATAAACAAAGAAAACTTGAAAAGATGTATACTAAAATACCACCATCTGAGGACATTATGAGTAACTTATTTTTCTTTTGGCTAATTGTGCATCTTAACTTTTTTATAAGGAACATAATACTACTTGTGGAATAGAACTAGAAGTTGAAAAAATAGGTACAATCTGGGGGAGGAGACAGGACAAATGGCTGTGAAATACAACTCTACTTCACCCCTCAGTCACCTTTCAACCCACTCCTGTCTGTTTTCAACCCCAACTACCCAGAATTATCTCAAGGTCAACTAGGATCTTCTCTTACAACTCAACAAGCACTTACTTCTCTTGTTTGACTTTGTTCTTCCTCCGTATTTTTTTAAAGATTTTATTTATTTGTTTATTTTTTATTTAGTTATAGGAGAAGGGAAGGAGAAAGAGAGGGAGAGAAACATCAATGTGTGGTTGCCTCTGGAGTGCCCCCAGTTCAGGAAGTGGTCCCACAACCCAGGCTTGTGCCCTGACTGGGAATCGAACCAGCGAGCCGCGCTCAATCTACTGAGCCACACCATCCAGGGCCATTTTTTTTTTTAGAGGAGAAAGGGAGAGAAATCAATGTGTGGTTGCCTCTCATGCACCTCCTACTGGGCACCTGGCCCAAAGCCCGGGTATGTGCCTTGACTGGCAATCGAACCGGTGACTCATTGGTTTGCAGGCCAGCACTCAATCCATTGAACCACACCAGCCAGGGCAGTATGTATCTTAAATGCTGGCGTCATTGGGAGCCCTCTGCTGGGCACTTGGCTCTTCTCACTCTATGCAGGCTTGGACACCATCCAACGCCACCAGCTTCCTTTACACCATTCATGTTGATGTTTTCTGTATTAGTTTCCTATTGCTGCTATAACAAGTGACTGCAAATTGGTGGCTTAAAACAACACATCTATTCTCTCACGGGGCTGGAGGTCAGAAATCTGAAGTGTGTTTCACTGCATTGAAGTCAAGGTATCAGCAGGGCTGTACTCCCTCCAGAGGCTCTAGGGGAGCATGCATTTCCTTAACCTTTTCCAGCATCTAGAACTGCATTCCTTGCAATCTTTGGCCTGTGGCCACCTTCTTGTATCTTCAAGAGCATCTTGCTTCTGCAAAGGCATCATATTGCCTTCTTTTGTGTGGTCAAATCTCCCTCAGCCTCGGTCTTACAAGCACATTTGTGATTATGTGTAAGGTCCACCTGGATAATCCAGGATAATCGCCCCATCGTGAGATCCTTAAATTAATCACATCTGCAAAATTCCTTTTGCCACATGGGTTAACATTCATAGGTTCCAGGGATTAGGATCTGGATACCTTTGGGGCCCATTACTGAGCCAACCATACCTTCCAAGTCTCCCTTTCCAGCCTGGCCCTTTTTCTGGCTTGCGCTCTGTGTATCCAACTGCCTATGTGATGATTTCACATGGCTTATCTCATAGACAGATACCTCAAACTCTACATGTCCAAAACTGAACTTGACATCTTTTACCTGGTCCCTGGCCCCAGCCTCTTTGTCTGTGTCTTGGTGGGAGGCACCACCATACACTACCTGAGAGTCATTCTCTCCATCTCTTTCCACCAACCTCCACTCAGTCATCGTTTTATCATTGCCTCCTAAATGTCTCACATATGTGACTGCCTCCTCCATCTCCATGCCAGCCCTAATCCAGGCCATACCATCTGCTCACTGGTCTCCCTTCTCCCAGTTTTGCATATCTGATCTGTTGCTCTCTTGCTTAAAACTTTTCAATAGTCCCCATTACTGTCTGGACGAAAGATTAGCTTTTTTTCATGTCTACCTGGTCCTGCATGATCTGAATGCTCCTGCCATTTACAGCCTTGTCTCTCACTCTTCCCTCCCTGCCATGACCTGTGCCCTCCCACTGTTCTTCCCTCTGCCTGTAACACTCCCCCACCCCCTTTCAACTGGGCTGATCAGAGGTCAATTCCTCCAGAAACCCTTCTAGTGACCTAGTATCCCCTGCCACAGCTCTTTCTCTCTCTCTCTCTCTTTTTAAAGACTTTATTTATTTTTAGAGAGGGGGGGAAGGAAAGGGAGAAAGAGAGGGAGAGAAACATCAACATGTGGTTGCCTCTCACACACCCCTTGCTGGGGACCTGGCCCATCACCCAGGCATGTGCCCTGAGTAGGAATCAAACCAGTGACCCCCTGGTTCACGGGATGGTGCTCAATTCGCTGAGTCACACCGGCCAGGGCAGGTTTGGGGTAATCTTTAAACAATCTGTATTTGATACCATGTCATAACTAAGTTTATGTTTACACTGAGCATGTTCCTCCAATGCTACAGGTGGCAAACACAAGGCCTGCAGGCTTAATCCAGCCCTCCACCTTATTCTATCCAGCCCAGCACCTTGTTTCTACCTGGCGGCAGCACTGAGCTTCTTGCCCCTAGTTAGGGAGTAGTTACATTGATACAGTCCTGACATTACATTCGGCCCTTTGAAGGCAACTGCGAGGCTGACGGGGCCCCTGGTGAAAATGAGTTTGACACCCCTGTTCCATGCCCTGTGACCACCCAGTACAACAACAATCACGTGTATCATGACAATGGACAGCAGGTCAACTACGTCGTGAGCTCACGGTCATTTATGCGAGAAGTGGTTCCCCGGCACCTCCGAGGAGCTGGCCTGGTGCTGACTGCGTGCCTCAGGGGATGCGCTGCCTGGGGACGGAGACTCCCTGCGGCTGGGGCTCTGCCTTCAGGCTTCCCTGAGACCTGTGCGCTTAGGACACAACACACGCACACGCGGGCACACACACACACACACACACACACACACACACACATGCATAATGCTTCCTTTGCTGCTCCTGGAGCAAGGAGTCTTCTCACAACTACATGTGCAGGACATAAGTGATGCTCTTCAAAGATAAAGGGGTGCGTCTTTGTCTCCCCAGCATCTAGCATTGGACACACAAAGGAAATGCCCAAGGTCAGAAGGAAACCCCCTCAATGACAGTTAGGAGGTTGGGCTGCGTGGTGGTTGAGACCATCAGCCTTGGGGTTTGGCTGGCCCAATTCCAGGGCCCGCCCATCACCGGGGCTGGGCCTGGGATGAGGCAGGTGGGGTGCCTCTCTTGCCTCATGCTACTTCTTCACTCTGTTCATGATCCTGTCCACTGCTTCCAGCTGTGTGACCTTAGGAAGGTAACTCCTCCTCTCTGATCTTCAATGAGAACAATAATACCTATTCAATAAGGTTTCTGGGAGATTAAAAGAAATAAATCCTGGTCCATAATGATCCTTAACAGTTTTAATAAAGGGTAGTTCCCCCCACCACAATTTCGGCATTTATCAGAGTGGCCACCAGAGGGCAGTGGTCTCCCTGACAGTAAAATAACCTGCCTTGGTGATCGATCAGTGATCCCTTTAAAGAAAACACACCTGTAAGTGTGTGTGTGCACGTGTGTGTGCCAGAGGGGTTGTATGGCCTTGATTGAGTCAACACAGCAACTGGCCAGCAGATACACAGGGCATCCTATCCTGCTGGTCACTTTCCCACTCTCCACTATAGTCACGTGAGGGTTGGCAGGCGTCTGAGACCAGTGAACTGGGATTTCCTGGGTCACTCTGTTCTCTAGACTGTAACCGTGGAACCACCTGGCCTTCCCCAGAGCGGTTCCTTCTGCCTCCTGCACGGCCTTCTCCCGCCCTTTCCTTTGGCAAATGTCTCTTTCAGGTCTATCCCCAATGTGGCCTCTCTGAGTTCCTTCTTCCATAGATGGAGTCCTCGGCTCCCGAGTCAACCTATTCTTTTCTCGATGGTGCATTCCTAACACATCATTGAATCGCTCATTTAGGTGCAGTTCAACTAGAGTAGGGGCTCCTGGGGACCCGGAGCCTGGGCTCTGTCACTTCCTTGTAACCACATGTACATTACCTAAACTCTCTGAGTTTCAGTTTCCTTGTTTGTAAAAATGGGGCCTATAACAATATCCAGCTCACGGGGGTTCCTGAAAACTAACGACATTATGCACGCACAGTCCTGTTTTGTGGAGCGAATGCCTGTCAAAAGCCACTGAGCTGTAAGGTCCTCAGGGGTAAGGACTGTTTTCTTCCTTTTCACAGGGTAGAATACCTGAATCTCAGTGTGGGCATATGGTCAGGGCAGAGTTCTGAAAGTAGGGTGCCCGTGACCGGCAGCCTCAGGAGCCTGTCAGAATTGCACATTTTCAGGCTCCGCCCCTGACCCGCCGAAACAGAAACTCTGGGGATGGGGCCCGGCAACTGGTTTTTAACAAATTCTTGCGGTGATTCTGCTGAGTGCTGAAGTTTGAGATGCATTGGCCTAGAACAGAGGCTGTAAAGTATTTGTACAACAAATGAGAGGAGACTCCCTTCTGGGGTTTTTTTGTGGCTCTTAAACTTTCCAAGGTTTATTATCTGCTCTCTCTCCCGGGATTGATGGAAGGATCGAGGCAAACAAAATGTACGAGTCTACGTAATAAAATAGCATTGTCATCTGCTGGGCCCTGTGAGAAACTCTCCTCTAGACCCCAGGAGAAGCCTGGCCTTCCCTTCCTGCCACCGTCTAGCATGCAAGGTACACAGGCATGTGTGCTGCAGACACACGCCTGCCAAGCCTTGTCCGCTCATGGAAAGAGGAAGCCCGTTCTTAAAGCGTGCTGATGGCCTCGATAAGGGAGGAGCAGTGGTTACGACCCCACCCTGGCACAGGGCAGGTGCTCAGTAAACATCTGACAAGTGAGCGACTCTGTCCAGGGGAGCACAGGAGCCGATTGCTTGGGTTTGGGGCAGTCAGATCTGGGCTTTCCCCCGCCCTTGGTCTCATTGCTTTCTCCGGGATCAACAGGATGACGTCGATTTGTAGGAGTGAGTGATAGTAGGTGTCATTGTCTTGTTTCTAATGCCTTACCATCAAGAATGATATTTGCCCTGGCTGGTGTAGCTCAGTGGATTGAGCTCGGGCTGCGAACCAAAGTGTCGCAGGTTCGATTCCCAGTCAGGCCACATACCTGGGTTGCAGGCCATGACCCCCAGCAACCACACATTGATGTTTCTCTCTCTCTCTCTGTCTCTCTGTCTCTCTCCCTCCCTTCCCTCTCTAAAATAAATGAATGAATGAATGAATAAAATTTAAAAAAAAGAATTAAAAAAAAATGAATGATATTTGCATTCAGGAGTTTTTTACTCTGGCCCTGGCTGGTTGGCTCAGTGGACTGAGCACCAGCCTGCAAACTGCAAGGCTGCCGGTTCAATTCCCAGTCAGGGTACATGCCTGGGCTGCAGGCCAGGTCCCCAGTTGGGGGCGTGTGAGAGACAACTAATTGATGTATCTCTCAAACATTGATGTCTCTCTCCCTCCCTTCCTCTCTCTAAAAATAAATAAAATCTTTATTAAAAAAAAAAGGTTTTTACTCCAAATGATGCCAGAGCCAGATGTATTTACTGGCATTTTATTTGCCTTCCATGTAAATGGATTTCGTGGTGTCAAGCTCCAGGCCCGTCTCATTGGTCAGTTCGTCCCCTATGGTCTAACAGGACCCCCAGACCTTGTTTCCCCCACCCCATCCCACTGCCCTCAGGGTCTGTGTCAACCTCTTTGACTCGCTGGACTTCCCCAGAGCAGGAGCTCCAAACTGGCAGAGTTGGAGCAGCAGGCAGTGCTCCACGATACCCACCTTTGTCTGCTGGACCACAGGACAGGATATATTGATCACTCTGATTGGAAGGGAGGGCTCCCATCCCCATATGCCCTAACTCCAGGCTACTCCTGCTTATCCTTTAAGACATAGTTTGGACATCACCTCCTCCAGGAAGCCTTCCCTAATGACCCCCCAACTCCTATCAAGTATATTACTGCAACTGCCACATCATTTGCAATTACACTTTTATGTCTGTCTTGTGAGCATCCTGAGGATGGGGATCTTCTTATTCATTTCTCTCTCCCCACTGCCGAGCATCAATAACCATATCCATGTGCAAAGTATTAAAGGTTCCATGTTAGTGTTGAGGAAAACGACAAAGAAAAGACGTCTGAACTGGACCTGGAAGAATAGGCAGGAGCCTGTTCAGCTGAAATGGAGAGAAGGGCGTGCCAAGTGGAGTGAGCGCATGGCACACGAAAGGCCCCAGAAGAGAGGAAACGTATTGTTTTCGGGAACTAATATAGAAGTCCCATGTGGTTGAGTGGCTCGAAGGAGTGGCCAGGGAGTCTGGAAAATTAGAGCAAGCCAGTTGTAAGGCTGCAAATGGACTTCCTTGTCACGCCAAGGGGGAAACTTCATCCTAAGGGCAGAGGGGAGCCGTGCGTTAAGCAGGGGCGCAGCATCATTAGAACTGTTGGAGGAGGATCTCTTGGGTAGCAGAGGACGTGGCTGTCAAACTTCAGCTGCGTCAGAACCACCTGGAGGGCTCATCAAGCGGTGGTTCTGCGTTCAACCCGCTGAGTTCCTTCTCCAGGTCCTGAGTGGGGCCTGAGAATATGCATTTCCCACAAGCTCCAGGTAATGCTGGTCTGAGGACCCCACTTTGAAAACCACTGTTGGAGAGGCTGAAACGGAGAAGAATGGGCAGCAGAGAGAATGTTAAGGAAGCTACTGAAATAGCCCAGGTGACAGGTGATGGAGGCCGTGCAGGGAAGGTGCTCATATTTTAGATCGGGGTGTGGCCGACTTTTCCGTCTTAATGGTGAGGTTTCAGGCACGGTAACAAGCCGGTGTGGAAAAGGGAGAAACCAGCCAGCTGGCCAGGATAGTTCCCACACCTGACCCGGCAGAGCCAGACCCACACTGGTAATGACCTTCAGAAAGCACAACAGAGACCAGGTGCCCCAGGTTGCTGTTTAATGCCCGATTATCACACACAGGGAGGTTTACACGGCGCTCATCCAAGCAGGTCCCAGGGCGAAGCCAGGTCGGAGGTACCTGACCCATCCCGAGTCCCGCACCAAGACCCGGTTCCCTCGGGCTTGCTCGCCCTCGACGGACGTGCCGCACACGAGGCTTCTCCACTCGCCCAGGCTGGCCGGGCCTGTGGTCACTGAGGGTCCTCACGGGAGAACAGGGCCCCAGGGCGGGGTGGGGACCTCGGGGCACGACGGCGAGAACCAGACAGCGGCCCGTAAACAAGCCCGAGGGGCTGCCACGTCAAACGCACTGAGCCGCACAGCGCTTGGGCACGGGACATCCGAGCTCTTTCACTGAAGACACCAAGCACCGTGCGGAACTGACGCTGGAGACACCTGGGGAGAGACCCTGACGCCCGAGCCATCCCAGAGCCAGTTTCACGAGCTCCACCCCCCCCACCCGGTCCCTGCAGCCATGCTGGTCGTGCCAGCACTGTGGTGGGGAGGGGACGCCACTCTGGTCTAGCCAACACTGTCAACGGGAAGGGACACGGGAGCGTGTCCCTGGTTGTAAGGAATTTCTTAGACCCTGACTCTGTCCAACAATGTAACACTACTGGGTTCCCTGGGGCCCTGAGTCTTTGGTGTCCCTGGGGACACAGGTGACTTGGGAGTTGAGGAACTTCCTGGCAGAAATAATGTACCTCGGGGAGAAACTGTCTTGTCTTCTGCCCTAGTTTTAATGTTTTCCTGGCCCCTAAAGGAAACATACCCCTCAAGATGTGTTCTTAAAGCACTTCCGTGAACTTGGGGGGGTTCCAAGTGTCACTGGTAAGCAAGAGGCTCGAACTTGTTTCCGACACCGAGCCTGAGAATGGGCCTGGGTGGCCCAGCCCCTGGGCCAGGCAGGGGACCACACAGGAGGCGACAGGCCATGGGCCCAAGGGGCAGCCCCTCTGCCCAACCCTGTGGCTGGGCATCTGGAGGCAGAGCTTGTGTTCTGGCCAGATTTCAGCATTAAACTCATTCCCAGTGGGTCCTGCAGGCCTCTTACCCCTTTTTTTCTGATTCAATTCTAGGAGAAAGCTCTCGATAGAGCCCAAGGCATGAAAGTCAAACACGCCTGTCCTCCGAGATGGTCCTCTGAGTGTCCAAACAGCAGTCCAGCCAAGAGCCAGGAACAGCCACGCCATCTCCAGCCCCACGGACTGAGTCCAGACCCCAGGCAGCGACCCCTCCCCCCGCAAGGGCCGCGGTGGTCCTGGGCAGCTGGGCTGCAAAATGGGCTTTCCATGAAAGCCCCGTGGAGCCGTGGAGGTGGGGAGACCACAGGCATTTCTATAAATTATAGATTAGCCCTGTTTATAGAGCTGGGTGCCTTTGACCTGCAAACGACAAGGCACAACTGTCCCCAGCTGGGCCTTAGTCATGCTGGACCCTGCTCCCCAAAGATGCCCACCTCCCTAAACTTCAGACACCCACAGATCGCCTCGAGAGCAATCACATGAGGCTGAATTCATATTACAAACCAGCTTAATGCTACAAACGTCGGGAAAACAAAGTGCTGCCCAGCCAAGCCCCTGAGAAAATGGCTCCCTGAGGTGGGGAGTGGGCCTCTCGGACCACCGCCCCTGGCTGCCGCCCTCCAGAAGGCACAGCCGTGGTTCGGCCCAGGGCACCCCACCCCGGGCTGGGTGGGGGAGGAGAGCCGACAGCCCCCCACCCAACTGGGCTACAGGGACCGTGTGGGATGGTCAGGCCCCTGGGGGTGAGGATGGGGGGAGGCCAAAGACCCCAGAACTCCAGGTCTGAAGGGGTAACACGAGCCCACCTCCTCATTAGCTGCCTAGTCTGGTCTGCAGTGAAGACCCTCTCTGTCACTTCTGCATTCCTGTGACAAAAGGAGCCACCTGCCACCAAGTCCTGGTCACCCCTGGCCCTGGGGGTCCCTGTGCGAGCTGGGGGGAAGGGGAAGTCCTTAAAGAATCACCCCCTTTAACAAACGAGGCAAAAAGACCCGAAATCTTTCCAAGGAAGGGGAGGGGGCAGCTACAGAGGGGGCGTGTTCTGGCAATTTCGTGTCTTAATCTCACCCTCCTCTGCGGTGCCTGCCCCTGCCTCCCAGGTCCTCAGTGGGAAACAGCCTGGGTCCCAGCAAGGGGCCCACACGGAGGGGCAGCACCTGCAACAGCCCTTCGGCTGCTTCCACACTCTGGTCCGAGCTTCCTCCGTAGCTCTGCTCGGCTGTCTCCCCGGAGGACCGCTTTTTACATTCTAAGAGAGGCAAATAAGGAATTCCACAGGGAGGGAGGCCCCTTAATTGGTCGGTCCTGTTTCCTCAGGAGCCTCAGTGTCACCTGAGCACTGGAGTGGCTCCCTGGATCCACCTCTGGGACAGAGGAGACCGGGGAGCCGGGGCTGGGACCTCAGCCGCTGCTTACTAGATAGAATTAGGGACCTAAGTGCAACGAACGGCCCAGCAGATGGGACGGCCCCTCAGAGACCCAGCCGCCACCGCAGTGGTGGGGGGGTCAGGGAGTTGGCCTGGATGCCAGGAAGCCCAGAGCTGCCCTCAGCAGCGGCCGGTGTGGGCCTGCCTGAGGAGTCTGACCGGAACCCGTCCCTGCTAAAGCTTGGGGAAGACACACACACTCAACTCAACCTGAAATAAATACACGAGGCATCAAGTGCTTTCCGATGAACGGAAGGCCCTAATCACCCCTCAGAGGGCCATGGCAGGGCCTCTCCCCGGACCCGGTCACCTCACCTGCCGCCCTTCATGTGGGAGGTCAGAAGGCTAACTGGGCCTTCGTGGGTCCGGCTTCCACCAGGAGGGACGGACTCAACCCCTGGCACAACCCTCACGCGCACCCTCCAGGACCCTCCTAGGCCGCCTCCGCTGGCGCAGGGGCAGGGAGCACAAAGGAGAGGAGACCCCCACCCTCAGAGGGTAACACCTTGTGGCCAGTGTCCCAGTGCAGGCAGAGGGACTGTCAGTCTGTCTGCGAGGAGGTAGAGGCAGTGGCAGGGCTGCTGGGGGCGGGCAGGGTCACTCAGTTAATCAGCAGGTCCCCGAAGTCATAGAAGTCAAACAGGTCACTGATGCCCTCACCCCCGTCCAGGCCCCACAGGTAGTCGTCCTGGTCCAAGGGCGGAGAGAGGCTGATCAGAGGCGAGCCGTCCGTCAGGGCTGGGGACAGGAACTGGTCTTCGGTCTGCTGCAGGAGCGGGTGGGGCAGCTCCAGCATGCTGTCGGTGGCCTCCAGCGGGACCAGGGGTGCTGGCGGCAGCGGCGGCGGAGGGACACCTCCCTGCTGGGAAGTCAGCGATGGCGCTGGGGACAAACAGACGAGGGTCAAGCCTGGCCTGGCGCCCAGAGGCCTCCGGCTGTCTGGACGCCTATGTGCCCTTCTCTTCTCTCCCGCCCTGCCGCCTGCCGCCCTGCCGCAAGCCGAGTGGCACCAGCCCTAGCAACAGCCCTCCTTCCCCCACACGCTCCCCTGGCCTCTCCCAGTGGGCGGGGCCTCCTGCTCTCAGGACCCGCCCTCTCTCACTGTGAGGTCCCTGAAGTCCTCTTCCCTTTTCCCTGCATCATCAGCTCCTCTCGCTCTACCAGATCATCCCCGTCCACACCTGGACAGATCTGAAAACGCCATCTTTAACAAAGCCTCCTCCTCCCCCGGTCTCACGACTCTCCAGTCACCAGCCCATGTGACTGCCCCCTTGCGGAGCAGAGTGTCTCAAGAGTGGCCTGTGCTCACTGTCACAACGAATGAACCACCGTCCACTCGGTGGGTGAGGCTGGAAGGCCCAAGAATCCTGGAATCCTGCCCACTTCCCCTGCATCCAACCCAGCAGCAAGCTCCTCTCCACAACCAGGTGCGTTCTCCAAGCTGTCCACTCCTCCGTCACCCACACGGCTCCTGACCAGCCACCTGGCCCCAACTCTTGTCCCTTGCCCTCTGTGCTCTGATATAAAAAGAACTCAGAGACCTGGCTGGTGTGGCTCAGTGGACTGAGCACCAACCAGCCTGTGAACCAAAAGGTCATCAGTTCAATTCCCAGTGAGGACCAGGTCCCCAGTAGGGGGCGTGTGAGAGGCAACTGATCAAAGTTTCTTTCCCTCTCCTTCTCCCTCCCTTCCCCTCTCTCTGAAAAGGAAATAAATACGTTTTTCTTTTTTAAATAAAAGGACTTAGAATGACATGCTGATGAGGGCTGAGAAGGCCCAGTACGATCGGGCCCCTGTCTACCTTCCTCCAATAGTCCACGCTCAACCACGCTAGCTACACTGGCCATCTGCTAGCCCTCAGACGCCAAGTCCACGTTCACGTAGAGGTAAGAAGGCGATCTGCCACTCAGAGACGTGGAGCAGGGCCCAGGAGTCCCCTGTTAGGCGCACCCCGACGCCTGCACTCTCGCCACTGGAGTCACTCCTTAAGGCCCAGCCAGGCATTGCTTTGGAGGTGCAACCATGCCGGCGACCCTGACTGCCTGTGGGGAAGAGACTGCACGTGGCTGAGCCCCCGTTTCCTCGCCTGTAAGCGGGGGTGGTGACGCAGACCTCAGAGGGTGGCGGAGAGGGTGACACGCTCAGTGCGGGTGAAACACGCTGGCTGGCGTGCAGAAACCCCGCACTGGGTCTGTCGCTGCCCTGCCAGCAGTTACGATGGCTCCCGTTCACCAGGGGCTTACGGGGCCCAGCTCTGCTCGCAAGGACGGGCAGGTGTCACCTCCACGGACACTCAAGTGTCAGTGTTGTTACCCCTATTTACAGATGGGGAAACTGGAGCTCAAAGAAGTCCAATGTATTCAGATGAAAGAAACAAAGCACAAATGGTTGTTTGCTGTGCTGCAGGGGCCTGCAGGTGTCAGAGTGAGAGGCCGGGCTCCAGAGCAGGGAGCACGTGGGCTTGGATCCCAGCCCCACCTCATTGGCTGTGGGACCCGGCACCGCCGTTCCACCACAAGGAAAAGTCAAGGCCCGCCTCGGTGAGCTGCACGGGGCAGCAGCTGGGATAACCTGTGAAGGCCTCCGCTGCAGGCTGGGCCTGGCTCTCCCTCTCCTGGAGCTTATCGCATCCTGAAGAGAATTGCTCTTTGCAATGTCTGTGCCTCCACCACACCGAGTGGCTCATGTTCACTTCTGTGGCTCCCAAACTGCACATAGTAGGTGCTCAGTTCACATAAGTTTTTTCAAAAATCACATTCACGCTGTGTCATCTCCATAACCCACCCAACGGTCAAGAGGGAGTTACGAGTGTGGGACCAGGCTCCGAGGGGCTCAAGTGACTCACCCACCGTCCCCAAGTCAGGGGAGGTGAGGTGCAGGTGAGTCCCCCGATTTTAACCTCTGTGCCGTCAGCCACATTTAGGTTTACTTCAGAACATCAGGGCCTGCAAGGATGGTCTCCAAGGACAACTGAAGTGAAAGTGGTTCGAACTCTGGAGAGCTGTGTACTTGTTGACAGTGGAGTGAGAACAGGGTGGGGCACGGGCCTGGAGTGGGAGATAGGCACTGGGAGGTGCCCAGAGGGACAGATGGCTGGTGCGGGGAGCAGCCCTGGTCCCCAGACCAGGCCAGGACACAGGGGAGATCACTGGAGAAGAGCTGGGAGTCTGGGCTGTTGCCCAAGCTCCACCACCAACTTGCTGTGTGACCTTAGAGAAGTCACTTGCCCTCTCTGGGCTTCTTTTATTCACATGCAAAATGAAGAGCTGCGTTAGATCAGGAGTCAGCAAACTTCTGTACAAGGCCTGTAGTATTTTTGGTTTTGCAGAACACTTATGGCCTCTTGTCACAGTCACTTTCTTTTCTATTTCCCCCTACAACTTGCACAACGTGAAAACCATTCTTAGCTCATGAACCGTATAAAAACAGGCCACATTTGGCCTGCAGGCAGTAGCGTGTCAATCCCTGAGTCACATAAAGACACAGAATCCAATCTGTATTCTATAGACCCTCCCAAACACACCTCTTCCACCAGACCAGTTCTGGCTCTGCATTTGTTTTGTTGTTTTGTTTTAAGATTTTATTTATTTATGTTTAGAGAGCAGGGAAAGGAGAGAGAGAAACAGCCAACATGTAAGAGATACAATGATTGGTTGCCTCTCACACACACCCCCACTGGGGACCCCCAGCCTGCAACCCAGGCATGTGCACTAACTGGGAATCGAACCAGTGTACTTTTGGTTCGCAGGCCGGCACTCAATCCACTGAGCCACACCAGCCAGGGCTCTGCATTTGTCTAAACACTGGGGTTTACTTAAGGAAATTCTGCTGCTAAAACACACAGTGGAACACTGGCCTGTGCAGCCTCGAGAATCCTGCCAATGTGACCTGAAGTGTGATCCCAGCAAAGAGCAAAAACCACGCTGGTGGAGGGGCCTTCCCAGGTCCCCGCTCCCACTCCTTCCAGACCCCCACCCTCCCTGGAAAGGCCTCGGGAACCTCTCCCACCTCCTTCCCCCCTGGCTGCTGCCTCATTCTACTTCCTATGAGGTGTAGCCAGCTTTTGGCTGGACCGTCCACTTCCCAGCCCAGGCTAAGCCAGGATCCCCTGCCTGATGTGTTCTGTTTCTCTCAGAGACAGCGCTGGGCTAGGGACGTGGAGACCAAGGCTCAGGACCCAGCTGTGTCGTCTCCCAGCCGGGAGACCTCGGGCAGGCCACGTCACCTCTCTGCTTCGGTGGATTATGTCTACCCTGGGAATACGAAAACCCCCCTCAAGAATTGCTGTGAGGAGTAACGTGAAAGTGGGTGTACCTGGCAGAGTCATGGTTCAAAAACCTTAGTTATTATCGTCCAAGAAAGTGCTGAGCCTTCCTCAAAAAATATATATATATATATATAGTTTCCACTTCCTGTGGGCTTACTGAGCGCCAGAAGCTCTGTTCTCGGTAGCTGTCACAGAAGCAGCAGGACCGGCAGTGGTGGCAATAATCACGGTAACGACAGCTAGCACTCACTGCCAGGAACAGTTCTGAGTGCTTTCGTGTTTAACTCATTTAACTCTCACAGCAACCCATGCAGCGAATACCGTTACTTACTAGGCCCAACTTACAGACGAGGAAATTGAGGCAAAAAGAGGTTAAATATGTTGTCCAAGATCACGTAGCTGGTAAGGGAAGAGCTGGGATTCAAAGCCAGGCCCCCCATTGCCCTGAAGCAGGATCAGCTTGCCAGTAAGACAGCAATGCACATGTGCTTTATGGCGTGTAGAGTGCAATGCACACACAGGGGGAGGACTGTATCCCCTGCAGCTGGGTACAAGGTCAATACCCAACAAATGCTGATGTGGAAGAGGAAACTTCCACCCAACCTTGGCCGGTGGCTCTCCCCACCTCCTATTCCCCTGGACAGAGGGCCCTACCTGGGGATGCGGCGGGTTCCAGAATGCCGGGGTTGGTGCTGCTGCTGGGCTGGGCAGAGTCAGGGCTGGGGCTGAGGGTGGACGTGGAGGGGATGGGCTCCTTGGCAGGACTATCTGGTTCCTGCATCTCCTCTGGGCACAGGTAGACTTCGATGGGCCCCTGCGTGCTCTTCAGGTATATCTGCAGATTCTCCTGGAGGAGGAAGAGAAGCCAGGCCATGGCTCTGGGCAGCTGGACACTTACTCAGGGGTCAGTGTGCATGGACAGAGCATAACACGTGTGCATAACACGTGGCTCCCACCATTCATAAGAGCAAGCTCAAGTCCTGAGCTGGGCACGGAGGCCTGCTCCGCCTGGCCTGTGGTGACATCTGCTGCAGTGACATCTGCTGCTTCCGCCTGCCTGTCCCCCAGGCCCCCTTCTTTCAGGGAGAATGCCTGGATTTTCCTTTGGGAAATCCCTCTATCCCCACTCTCGAGCTCCAATGGGTGAGCTTGGGATGCAGGATGAGAAGGTCCGAGGGACAGTGACTGGTGCAGGATGGCACATGACTCAGGCCAGTCCAACCAGCATGAGGCCCACGGCCTGGCAACAGAAGCTCCCTTCCCGTTGGGGTTGCCCAGCTGGTATCACGAAGGCTGTCTTTGCCATAAGCGGGGAGCCCACCTGGCACCAGAGTCAGCACAGAAAGTGACACAGTGAGATGGAGACCGTGAGGAGGAGTCATAGGCGAGCCCCTGCAGCCAGCCTGGCCTGCAGCCCCACATCCTGCCCCCGACCTGTCACTCAGCCCCTGCTCCCCCTCCCTGAAGCCAGCTCGACTTGTCTTTCTGCCACTTGTAACCAGGAGTCCTGATACACGGCTTTCCCATCCCTGCCTCTTGTCTACCACATACCAGCAGCTTCAGCCATGGCTGACTGCACACATGTGCCATTCCGGCACACACTCAGCTCTCCAGGCCGGGGCTCACGCAGCACCCCCCTCCCCCACTCCACCTGGCACAAATCCTGTGCAATGATATTGAGACAGGTTTGCACAGTGAAAGGCGATTACTAAGCTTAGTGTGGCGATCACATCGTAAGGTGTACAAATGTTGAGCCAGTATATTGTACACCCGAAACTGATACAATACTGTATACCAACTATATGTAAATAAGTGACTTGATTTTCAAAAATCCCCTTCATTCTTTAGGACCCAGTTTAACTGTCACCACCGATGGCTGCTGCCTCCAACTCTCCTTCCTCCTGGCCCTCAAAGCCCATCTCCAGGCTACGACCCACTGCTTGCTTGGGTCTTTTAGGTTCTGAGCTCCTCCAGGGTGGTGAAGGCAGGGCCTTATTTATCTTCATGTTCTTCCATTAAACAAATTATTTCTTGAGCCCTTATGAGGGTCTGGGTTGGGGTGTCACAGGAGGGGAACGCACTTTTTCTGGAGTGCACACTCCAGCGGACAAAACAGAACACTGTCGTGTGAGCACCAAAATATTCTGGCGCATGGAGGTTAGGTGTGGTGGGAAAGCACAGGTGGTTATGAATTCTGGGGGTGATCAGGGAAGGCTTCTATGTGGAAGTGATGTTTGAGTTGAGACTTGTAGGCTCAATGGCAGTAAACCAGGGGGAGAGAGGGAAGAGTATTTCAGCTGGAGGGAACAGCATGTGTGAAGTCCTGCACTGGGACAAGCTTACAGCGGTGGGGAACCTGCAGGCAGGCGGGTGGCTGAAGCAAAGACGAGGGGCAGCGCATGAGTGGAGGCTGATGAGGTCAGAGTGCAGAGGGCCTCACAGGGAGTGTTAAGAATTTCAGTCTTATAGGCCTGGCTGGCGTAGCTCAGTGGATTGAGCGCAGGCTGGGAACCAAAGTGTCCCAGGTTCGATTCCCAGCCAGGGTACATTCCTGGGTTGCAGGCCATAACCCCCAGCAACCGCACATTGATGTTTCTCTCTCTCTATCTCCCTCCCTTCCCTCTCTAAAAATAAATAAATAAAATATTTAAAAAAAAAAAGAATTTCAGTCTTTAATGCAGAACAGCGTGGTTAGCGTGACAGGATTATTGTGAGCGCTACCACTGCTGTGTGTGGTCACACGTGTGCGTGTGTGCAGGCACGCAGGGGCTGGTGGGACGCAGAGAGCAACCAGAAGCAGCGGTTTTCCTCAGGTCAGAATGTGTCACCCTTTCCAGCTTCTGTCACTTCTGCCCCAGCTCAGGGCTCGCCGTGGGTACTAGCAAGGCCTGGGGGAGCAGGGGGCTGGGCAGGGCCAGGGCCAGAGCCTGCAGAGCTGCCCAGGACCCCCCTGACGCTGCTCTCCACCAGATGCTCCCCACTCACCTCACTCTTGTCGGGAACTTCCAGCCTCGTCTGCGGAGGGGCCTTGACGGCGATCACCGTCTGTTCCTTAAAGGTGCCAATCGCACGGATGTCCTGGTAAGTCACATAGGCCAGTGTAGGGGGCAGCAGAGTCAAGGGAAGTCAAAATCCACAGCCTCAGCCCGCCAGGCAGGGGTCCCACCCCTTCTCCTAAGCCTTTGAACACTTTCCCTCACGCCTTCTGTGGCTTAGAAACAACCCCAAACTGTAACCTGTCCTGTCAATATCATAAGCTACTTCAGATCTCTTTAGAAAGCAAACAAAAGTATAAATCATTTTTTTAAATGCTGCCTTTTATCCGTTTTTTTTTAAGATTTTATTTATTTATTTTTAGAGAGGGAAGGGAGGGAGAAAGAGAGAGAGAAACATCAACGTGCGGTTGCTGGGGGCCATGGCCTGCAACCCAGGCATGTGCCCTGACTGGGAATCGAACCTGCGATGCTTTGGTTCGCAGCCCACGCTCAATCCACTGAGCTACGCCAGCCAGGTCTTTTATCAGTTTTTAATATAAAGGCTTTATCTCTCAAACTAAAGAAGGCAGTAAGACATGTCTTATTTCTTTAAATTTCTCACAATGCCTAGCACCCTTCCAAATATACAAGGTCATATACAAAAAAACAATTAGGCCCTGGCTGGTATGGCTCAGTGGATTGAGTACTGGCCTGTGAACCGAAGGGTTGCCAGTTCAATTCCCATCAGGGCCTGGGTTGTGGGCCAGGTCTTCGGGGGGTGGGGCATGCAAGAGGCAACCACACATTGATGTTTCTCTCCTTTTTTTCTCCCTCCCTTCCCTCTCTGAAAATAAATAAATGAAATCTTTAAAAAATAAAACATGACAACAATTAGATGGTGAAACTGTTTGGGAAAAACATAAAAAGCCTTAACAAAGTCCATGTTCTGTGACATCATCATTTCTGTCCTAGTTATCTGACCTAGGGAAATAAGTAAAAAGACAGGGAAATGTTCCATATACAAAGGCATCCATCGTTGTATTGCTTCATAAAAACAGAAATCTGGAATAGATCTAAATTGTTGATTTTAGGACTTATCAACAAACCAGAGTGTCATCTGAGTAGGACATTCTCAAACCATTTTAAATACGAGGTTAAACCACCCTGGCTGGTGTAGCTCAGTGGACTGAGTGCAGGCCTGAAAACCAAAGGGTCACTGGTTCGACTCCCAGTCAGGACACATGCCTGGGTTGCAGGCCAGGTCCCCTGTAGGGGGTGCATGAGAGGCGACCATACATTGTTGTTTTTCTCCCTCACCTTCTCCTTCCCCACTCTCCAAAAAGAAATAAATAAGGAATTCTTTAAAAAATAAGTAAATAAGTAAATATTAGGTTAAACCATATGAGGCTGCTGTTTTTGTAGGTGAAAAATGGTTCAATATCAACAATTTCCTATGGATCAGCCAAATAGTCAGGAAGGACTTGTACCCACATCAGGACTGTCTATGGTGATACACTGAGTGGAGAAAAGCAGGGTACACAATGTCATGCACAGCAGTCACACACTATATTCAAAACATAACCCGTGGCCCTGGCTGGTATAGCTCAGTGGATTGAGCGCCAGCCTACAAACCAAAAGGTCGCTGGTTCGATTCCCAGTCAAGGCACATGCCTGGGTTGTGGGCCAGGTCCGCAGTATGGTGGGGGGGTGCAGGCAGGAGAGGCATCACCACATTGATGTGTTTCTCCCTCCCTTTCCCTCCCTCTAAAAATAAATAACTTCTTTAAAAAAACAAAAAACATAACCCATGGAAGGTTCAAGAACAATGGCTATGTTGCAGTGGCAGCTATTTCTTTCTTTTTGCCACTTTGCAGATTTAAAGAAATGCACTTGTCTTACTTTTACTATGAGAAAAGTCACTTCAGTAGAACCAAGAGAAGCCACCCAGAAAGGAAAACACAGATACACCAGGCCCTGAGGGGGGCACTGCACCAACTCTGGACAGACGTGAGCGTGCAGCAGGTCCCCACTCCCCACTCCCCGACAGCCTTCTCCCAACCAAAGAGGATATTTCTTGTTGGCCTTGTCCTCGGTCAGCTGCTTGAAGTTCAGAGAGCAGCTCTGGATGAGCTGGTCCAAGGCCTGCTCCGTACTCGTCAGCTCCTGCAGCTCCTGCCCCAGCTGCTGCTGCTTCCTGGGCCCAGTGGGGTCTTCAAATATTCCCCTGCCTCTGGGAACAGAGCAGCCCCCCAGAGTCAGTCTCAGTCCACACCCAGGGGCCCCGACCCGAGGGCTGCTGGGCCCAGCTGCACAGATGGTGCACGGCCCCAGGATGAGGCCGTTCACATGGTCTACAGTGGTGCTCCTGAGCTGCGCAAATCAGCTCCCAGGGAGCTGCCAGAGGTCGAACCTTGGTGTTAGGGGGCTGGGGTATGGAAAAGAAATAAATCAGAGCGTGACCTCACTTGTGGGAGGCTTTCAACTCTGTCCACCCTATGCCCCAGCCTCCCACAAATGGCAGGGAGCTAGAATGACCTCAGTCCTGACCTCCCTGCCTGAGTTCTCTTAGGATTCAGGCTGGAGGCTGCAGATCTGCTCTTTAAGACCTCGTGGAAGTGAGGAGAGGAGCCTCGAGTCCTCACATATCTGAGCTGCAAGGAGCCTAGGTTATTACCGCTCAGCAACCAGGGGACTTTCCTACACTAGAAGAGGGAAATCTTGGGGTCTCTGACTTAAGAGGACACAGTCCTCTTAGGCCTTTACACCCCTAAAAAGCCTCCTCCACCCTGCCCCACCATGCTCTCCCAGCACTGCTCTGGCATGTACACCTGCTCTTCCACTCCAGCCTTAGGTACCCTGGCTCCGCCCCCAGCTTATAAGCCTGGTGGATGTAGCTCCTGGTCCGCTCTGACCACTTGTGCCCATTGGGTGTTGCTCTCGGCCCCACCCCCGACTTCAACACCCACTGCTCCTGGTTCCACCCGCAGCACCTGCACCCATAGGTGCCCCCAGCCCCAGCCCAGGCACTCACACCCACTGGATGTTGTTCTTAGCCTTCTTGCGGATGAGCTGGATGCCCTCCAGCACGTTGGTGATGTCATAGATGCGCCGCTTCTGCACGTCCAGCACCTCGGCAGCCCAGTTCAGGTCCAGGACCCCGTCCTTGGACTCGCTCAGGAGGTAAATGAACTTCTTGGTGAGCAGCCCCAGTGACGTGTCATACCGAGTCTTCTCCCCGGGGGACTTGGGTGCTGAGGAGGAAAGGGGCACAGTCAGTGCTGAGAGAAGGCCAGCCTGGGGAGCTCCTTCATGGGCCTGGACCCATTCAGTACCAGCCCTCACAAGAGCCCCCACTCTCCAGCTACAGAGCGCTGTGAGGCTTGGGGTCACTCACTGCCATTGTCCAAAAAGGGAGCCTCATACCTAGAGGGGGAAAGTGATTTGCTAAGGTCTCACAGTCAAGGGCATTGTCAGGGCTCAAACCAAGCGTCCTAACCCCTGGTACAGGGCACCTTTCCATCACAGCTTAGGGCAGCCACATCACCACCACCACCACCGATGACAAGGACAAATGCATACTGAGTGTAGGTCACTGTGCTAAGCACTTTCCATATACAACAAATGTAACCCCTACAACACTCTAAAAATTTGATGCATGACCACCCCCATTTTATAGATGGGTATACTGAGGCACGGACAGGTTAAGTAACATGCTCACCTCACTTGGCTAGAAAGTGGCAAAGCTGGGATTTAAACCTAGAGAGTGTAAACGTAGCCTTCCTTCTTAACCATTGTCCTATCCCGCCTGTTATGTCAGCAATGTGGAGTGAGGATAGGGAGCGAATGCCAAGCTTGGGTTTGAGAACGTTCTTACAGACCTGCCTTTTCTTTCTATGTGCTCCAGTGGGGCAGGTTCATGAAAAGGTCCCTTTGTTAATGAAGCTGATGTCACAAGACCACATCTCAGCTGCAGCATCTTGAACCACAAGAGGACTTTTGCAATCAAGTGACTTGCAAGTCACACAGCAAGTTAGTGTCCAAACTAGTTCAGGAAACTGAGTTTTAGAGAGTCTCAGATTCCTCTAGAAGGGGACCTTAGGATGCCTTAACATACAGATGACAAGTATTTGGCACACAGGTTGTTTTTTTAACTTTTGCACCCAGGGCAGGCATTACTAATTGATCAATGCACTTAGGATCCTTCAATCAAGAGCTCTGAGCATCAACAGGAAAGGACGCTCTCGTGCTGCTCCCGATCTAGCTGTACCTCGTTTGACAGATGAGACAGCTAAGGTTCACGGAGGAGGAATGGCCAGTCGGGTCAGGGCACAGCTCTGCCTGGACACCCCCAGATTCCTGACCCTCGTGCTTCCCACCCAGTCACATACCTTCTTTACTGGGTCTCTGACCCCCCAAATTAGCATTCCCTCCTAACACAGGTGCTGAAACTCCCACTCTAACCAGAATGACTACAAAAACTAAGGCAGAAAATCTCTGAGACTTAGTTTTAGGAAGTCGCTGCCTGGGCGGCCTCTGGGTCTTAAAACACTCAGAGGTGGCATGAGCTGGATTAATCCCGGCTTCACTTCCCCTCGAATGGCTCAGTTAGCTCTCTGTCTGCACGTGGGAGGGAGGACCTGCTCCTCTCCGAGCTGGGTTCTCTCTCTGAGAAAAGGTCAGATTGGACTAAGAAACTTTAAAAACAGTAAGCTCCCAAATAAGTCGTCGGTCGTCCTGTCCGGCCCCCAAGGGCACAGGTGCGGGAGAGGCAGTACAAGACTGGGCCGCAGTCCCGTCTCCACCTGCCAGCAGTGTCGCCTTGGGCAAGGCACTCAAGCGCTCGGTCTCAAGTGGCTCCATCAGCCCAAGGCGGGTAATCCTACCTGCCTGGCGGGATCCAGGGGGAGAGCACACAGCAAACTGTTTCAGGCACCAGGAAGTCTGCTACCAATGTTATTCCTGACGATCTGGGCAGGGCTGCTGCCCTGGGCCCCTGCCCACCCCGCCCCTACTCTCCTGCCCCCAGGTGCCCCATCAGTGCCACTTACTTTTAGGGCTGGGGAGGCCATCCACTCTAATGTGCTTCCCCTTGGGAGTCTGGAATTCCAGCACCGCGGGCCTCCCGATCCCCTCCAGGTCCAGCTTCCTTTTGGCCTTGCAGAGAGAGAAGCGAGAGAGGCAGAGTTTGAGAATTATTCCCCCTTCAGCATTTCCCCAACCTGGGGCCAAAGCACTGAGGACACCAGCTGCTGCTTCCTGCCTCAGTGTACCCCCAATCCTGGTGGAACCCCACTGTACTTGGTGAGGAAATATCAATGGCCTGACAAGTGACCTTTCAGGGGAAGGAAGCCCTATTTCCTGAGAGACACACAACACTCCCATCCTCCGAGGCCCAGGCACGTGGAGACCCTACCAAAGTCAGCCTGGCCACAAGCTAGGGGTTCCTCAATAACAGGCCACAAGGTCACTTCCACATCTGCCCCCTCCCCCTATGCACAGAGGACGATGCAGGAAGGAGTGGGTGGTTCCTAAACCACATCAGACTGGGGCGAGCCCCCCCCATCGCCCCGCCAAGCAGCTGGCCCAGCCAGACTGGGTGCCCATCATGGCCCCACAGCTGGCCCTTATCAGGGTGGGGCTGGGCATCCGCCCAGGCCCAGGGGACTTCCTGGATTGCTGCCACAACCCAGGGAGGTGCCCACATCGGGAAGCAGTGCAAACATCCCCCACCCCGATGTCTGGACTCCAGCTCAAGGGCTCTGGGGCCCCCTGAATAGACTCCACTTGCCATTCTTTCTTTGCGGAGAGGGGCAGACAATGAATCCTTCCCCTGTGTCTTAAGGACAAGCAGCTGAGGTCCCCCTGCTCCCCCTCCCTGTTCCCGCCAAGCTTGGGAAACACCTGCTGGGGAAATCAAACCACAGACCCATCTGCTCCTCTACACCCCATTGCCGCCCGGCCCTAGTTAGGCCCAGAAGCTGCGCTGGCCCGGAAGGGGCCTCGCTCCCGGTTAGGGTTGGGCAGGGGCAGGGCGAGGGCACTGGGGCACTGGGGCGCTGGAGCCAGGGAGCTGGGCTTGCACCTCCCAGCTCCTTCACAGGCACACACGACTCAACTCAGAGAAATGCCCCACAACCAAGAACCTGTTTCCCCCTCTGTAAAATGAGGCAGAAAAACACCTCCACCAAGGGGCCACTGTAAGAATTCAAGATAACCTCTGCAGGGTGCTCAGCCTGTGGCTCAACACATGGTGGACGTTCAGGAAATGCAGCGTCCCTACTTTAAAACCCAATCTCAGCCTCTTCCTTGGCACACACTTCTGGGGGTCACCGGGCCTATTTTCTTCCTACTTTCTGTCCCAACCAGTCACCCCTACCCTGGTTGGGACAGAGAGGCCTATTTTAACCTTGGGTAGTGAAGTCATGCTCGGCAGGGCTGAGAGTTCTAACCGCTACTGAGCACAGCTGGGCTGGCAGGTGTGGGAAGTGAGGACAGTTCTTGCTCTACACTTCCCTCTGTGCTGCCACCCCCCCACCACACACATACACACCTCCTCCAGGAAGTCTTCCTGGACTGATTTGAAGGACACTGCTCCTTTATTTGAGGAGCCTAAATATATTTCTCTCCTCTACACCTACCCAGATGTGGACACGGTCCAAATGCCTCTCTGGTCGTTCTTCTTGAAGTCTCCCTGGAATATTCCTTTTCTACCCTCCCAGGTGGTGACATCCTAGATTCTAGGAAAGATGGCCTGCTCTGGCCCCATCTTGTCTCTAGAGAAAGGCCCAATCATTTGCCGAAACCTTCCACATGCCCTGGTCAGAGCCTGAACACTCATCACCTCACCGAATCTTCCCAACACCACTCATCCCCGTTTCACAGCTAAAGTAACCGAGACTCGGCGAACTCCAAGGCCTTTATCAATCCTGATCAAGGTTATTGATCCCAGAATCCTTCATCCACTCCTCAAAAGGAATGCCAAGGGCTGGGAGAAGAAGGGAAGTCAGTCTGAGCTCTACCTGAGGCAGAGGTGGGGTGACCCAGAATCTCCCTGCCCCTCCTACCTCCCCTACCTGGCAGAACACACCAGGAAGGACCTCACTACCTGCAGAGTGGGGAGAAATGGAGGAGGACCTTGAAGAGAGTCCCTGTGAAGAACCTGTCCTGTGCTCATCAGTCCTGCGACACCAGTGTTGACAATCTCTCTTGGCAGAGAAGTGGAGGCTCGGAGAGGCTAAGCCACATGCCCAAGGTCACACAGATGAAGGGAAGAGCCGGTTTGAACCCAGGACTGTCTGATCCCAAAGCCACGTAGCAGGCTTCCTTGGTGGGCCAAGGCCTGGCTATACCCACCTGCCTCCATCACTTTACACACACACACACACACACACACACACCAGCCCCCTCCCTTCTCACTCTCACCCTTATCCTGCACTCTGAGTCCCTAAGCAGCAAAGTGTCCCCACCTGAGGACATCTCTCTGACGCCTTTGTGCACTGCCCAGAGGAAGGTCAGCACGTGGATGTTCCTGAGCCTGTAGCAGGGAAGTGGCCAAGGACACGCCCAGGAGGAGGACCAGGGAGAGGCTGAGCACAAGCCTCGGAGCCAGGCCCGCCTGGGTTCCCCTCTAGCCCTCCCACCCCACTTCTTAGCTGGGTGGGCTGAGCAAGTCAGCTGACCTCTTGTGTCCTACCAGTGAAGTGGGGCTAAGCCACCGGACCTCTGCTGTGGACTCGGGGAGGCAGTGCAGCAAAGCGCCTTGCGCGCTCAGGGGAGCTGCTGTCACTAAGGCGCCAGAGGCACCCGAAGGGGAAACGTTCAAGAGGTCAGCTGAAAAGACAGGGATGTGCCAAGAACAAAAGTCTGGGACCACACCCAGAGGCCAGGTTGGCTCTGACCTGGGCCCTCTTAGGCCACCCCTTGGGCTGCTTCTTAAAGGCCTGGTTAAAACTCGAAGCCACCCAGCCAATCCTCAGGGAGAAGAACAGAGGTCCTTTCTAAGGCAGCTCCAGAAGTGAGAGAGTCAGACACAAGCCCCTTTCGGGGCAGCCAGGTGAGGAAACGGGCTCACGGGAGAGGAAGTGATTCGCCCAAGGTCACGCAGGGAGTGGAGCCAGGCCGCTGAGCCCCAAGTCCTCTGTCAGAGAGCGGGGGCAGGAGCGAGCGCGAGGCCTTCCTCGGGAGCCTCACGTCCAGGTCCCAGCGTGGGAGCCGCACACAGCCTCGCCTCTCCCAGCCTGAGTTTCCGCCTCCCACCCGCCTTGCAGCGTGGTTCGTCAAAACGTTCACTTTCTTTCATGGTTCTCAGAGGAAATTTGGGAAGTACAGAGAAATTCAAAGGAAAAGAGAACAGTGCAGAATCCCACCCTCGTCCCAGGTTCCGGCAGGTTTGAAGACAACGATGCAGCACCTGCCGGAGCAGGGACTCAATGGACAACCATCCCGAGCCTTCTGCACACAGTGGCAGGAAAAGCACTAGACAGAGAGCACAGAGACCTGGGCTCTGCCCTTCATTCTGCCGTTGAACTTGGTTGCCATCCCTAGGCAGTGCCTGAGGTCCCTTTAAACTGCAGCTCACTGACAAATCCTGCTCAGCCTGCACTTTGCAGCCTGGCCACAAAGCAAGCGGCCACACCCAGGGTTGGGTTTGGAGCTCCTCCAGGTCACACCCTACAGAATGAGTAAGCAGGGGGCCAAGGCCTGCCCACGGGGCCAGGGGCACCAGGCCTCTGAGGACTGACGGGAAAACGGGAGCGGGAGCGGGAGCGCTGGGCTCGGCAGGCCTTTAGGGTGGTCTGATGAGAGGAGACTCTACCACCTCCTAGCTTGTTACTTGAAAAAGTGACTTCCCACGTCTCTGCTCAGTTTCCTCATCTGTAAGATGCCTCATCCCAGGCATCTTGGCTGAGATAACGAATGTGAAGAGTGCCAAGCAGTGCCTGGCACCCAACAGGCGTTCAGTAAAAGAGAGCCATTCTTGCTGTGATTAATGAGCCCCTCTTGGAGGGAGGTACAAACAGATGCACTCGGGCTCCTCTGGGAGAGAAGCAGTTCAAAACCACAGCTGTCACTGAAACTCCGCCTGGGCGCCTGAAAGCAGCTGGCCAGAGGAGATGGGGCCAGCCACTGAGCCCCTTCCCGGGATGCACCCAGCTTCTAAGTCAAGCGGTGCTGGGGAAAGTCAAGGTTGCAGAGAGGAGACTGATGACCACCTGCCTGTGGCATCGTACGTCTCCCTGGATGGCCTTGGCCAGGTCGCATCCCCTCTCTGAGCCTGTTCCCCCTACTGCCATCCACTTCACAGGGTTCAAAATTGTTTTAGGCTGTAAAATGCTGAACACAAGACAGAGACCCAGTCCCAGTTATCCTTGACTGCTTGACCTATAAAATGGGACTAGCTCTCCCGCCTTCTTCCCCCTAGCTGGAAATAACACGAGGAAGGGGCTCTGGGTAGGGTAAAGCCTAGAATAGGGCCAAGCACAACTCCTGTAGCAGGGAGTGAAGGCTCTGCCTGCCTCCAGAAATGGCCGGGGTCTGTGCCTGTTGACTGACACAGGTCTGACCAGGTGCCTCTAGGGGCATGGTCTTACCCCCTCTACCTGTACTGATTCAACACTCACAACTAAGCAAACCTCCAACACCCGCTCCCTGGAGCCTGCTCCCAAAACCCAGCACCTGGAGCTGGAAGTGACCTGAGATGAGTTAGCTCCACAGCTACTCCACGCGCGCGCGCACACACACACGTTTACAGGAAAACGAAACTGGGGCTAAGACCTGTCCAAGGACACACAGTGAATTGGTGGCAGTTAAGACCAGAAATCAGGCTCCCCAACCTCCCCCCTTCCCCCAGGGCTTTTCCCACTCCACCCTCACCCTTTGGTTGTTGAGATTCTCATGGGCTCCAGCCAGGAATTCCACTCCCACAAAACACACCCTGTGCCCAGTGCACCACACTGCGGGCTCTCCCTGGCAACAGGCTTGGGGGCTTAAGGAGGGAACAGTCCATCTGAACTGGAGCCCCAGGGAGCTGCCCCCAACTTGCACCTGCTACTGGCTGTCTGGGAGGAAAGACTGGGCCTGGGGGGAGGATCCAGGGCACATAATTAGGAAGGAGTTGGCTGGATGGAAAATTTGGAGTCTGTCCAAGCCATACTCGACTGGGAAGACACCCCCCACCCCACATTTTAAAGTCCCTACAGTATCCGCAGACCTAGCTTCGCGCTGGCACAATAGCAGGTGCCCAGTACTGGTTACTGAGCCAAACAATGAATGAAGAATGAATGAATGACAACAAAATTGGCCCCCTGGACTTCCCCAAGGTCACACAGTGCACCAGGGATGGTGGGATGAATCTCCACACCCCCAACCCAGTGTTCGTTCCACTCCATTCCAATCTTACTTCGTCCCAAGTTTGAAAAGCAAGGGCTCTTCTCCACTGGGGGCATTGAATTGTTCTGGAAACTGAAAGCTCCCCTTCTCCCTCCCCAAACTCCACCTGCTTCACTCAAACCGGGTCCCAGGCGCCTCTCCCTCCTTGACCACAAACGGAAAGCATAGGGGGGAAGCGGTTAGGGAGTTGTGGAAGGGGTCCCCAGAATTACCGGCAACCGGCCAGCCGGCACGCATCGCACAGCTTGGCCCTCCGGTCCGTGGGGGGTGGCGTCGAGGCAGGTGCCGGGCACCGCGGCCGGAGGCACAGTCTGCGGGCACAGCGAGGTGTAGTAGGTGGTGGTGGTGACCGGGCAGAGCTGGGGGCTGCCAAGGCCGGGCGGCCACAGTTCGGTGGGGCTCATCGCGGGCAACCCTTTCAGGGGCGGCCCAGCGGCCGGAGCCAGGGCCCGGGGCCCTCGCAACATAGTGAGCGCAGAGCCCCCTCCCCTGGCGTGCCCGCGGGCACCAGCGGACTCCAGAGCCAGCGGCCGCTCACCCGGCCCGCGGCATGGTGCAGAGGCCCGGGGAAGCCGCCAATGGACGCCTGCGGGGGGAGGCCGGACCCTCCCCTCCTGGCCCGCGGCCGAGCAGAGGAGCGCTCTGAGATCTCCGCTTGGAGATCGCCCGGCGGCTGGGGCTGCGGCACAGCCAGGGGCTGCCCCGCCCCAAGGGCGGCCGCGACCCGCGAGGGCCCCACGCCCCTGAGGGCCTCGGTGCCTAGGGTGCAGCGCCTAGGGGTCTCTGGCGTACCCGCGGGCTCGACCGAGATGTGATGCGCTCGGACAGGGTAGGAGGAGGACCGCTTGCACCGACTCTCTCTCGCCTCGCTCTGTAGTCCCTGAGTCTTTCTCTGCCTCTTTTTTTCCTTCTTCTTTTTTTTTTTTTAGCGCCAAACTGCGTGCCGCGAAATTCGGATCTCCCGCGGAAAATGCAGCGCTTCCATTGGTCGCTGCAACAAGCCTAGGCTCCACCTCCCGGAAAAGACCCATCCCCTAGGCGGCGATTGCAACAGGAGTTTGGCTGCTTAAAGAGACAGCCACACCTGTCGTCGTTCGCGAAACAGTCTGGAAGGGCGGTTCCGGTATTATGCTGAAGCCCCTAAGCACTGAGGAGCGCTCCGCGCTCCGGGGAATGGGCCCGAATTCCCTGGGGGTGAGTCGGACACAGAGTCCTGACCTGAACCCAGACGCAGCAGTGCATCACCCAGCCGAGGGTCTTTTGTTAGTTGGTGTGGTTGGCTAACTAGCATACATGCATTTCTATCCTTTTCTAAAGAAAATGAAGGCCAGGAATCTAGTCTCCTCTTTGGCGGCAGAGAGGGGTGGGGGACAAGGGACGGAGCCTAACATTTGTATCTCTCAGCAGGGGGATACTGACATCTACTGAACGCCTACAGTTGCCAAGCATCCTGCTAGCCCATTACATGTATTGTTTTGTTGAATCTAATACAACAATCCTGGGGAGAGTAATTCGCATCTTCCTGGTGAAGATGGAGAGTCTGGGAGGCTGGGTAACTTGCCTCAAGTCACATGGAGAGATCTGCTGATTTGAGAACTGGGGCAGGCCCGCTGCTGAGCCCTTGTTTGTTCCAGTAAGAGGTCCCTCCTCAGTTCTCCCAAGCTGTGCCCTGGCCCTGCCCGGCGCAGGTATGGGAGCGGGGTGGGGGTCCAGGGGGCCGAGCTCTGTCTTCTTCACAGTTGTATTCCCAGAGCCCAACACCCAGTAAATATTTGAACATCTCTAGGGTGCTCCAAAGCAATCCTTTTGTCACGAGAGCCTCCCTCCTTCATTCAAAACCTTTATTGTTGACAATCCACTACATTCCTCTTCTCTCCAGTTAAGAGATGCTGAGGCTCAGAGAAGTGGCCTTGGCTGGTGAATGGCAATGCTGCTGGAAGAGGCTGCTAAATTCTAGGTCTGCTGATTCCTTCCTGGTGCCATGGGATTTTTTTTTTTGCATGTCTGAGCCTGGTGTTTATCGCCATTCAGAGTCAGTTCCCAGCTTAATATCTAGTCCTCACCCTCAGATAGTGAAGCTGAGATGGCAATAATCCACGGTGATTAAAAGCCCAGACTCTGTAGACAGCCTTGGGTTTAAACTTGACTAGCCTGTGTGACCCCGTGCAAGTTTTGTAAACTAGGTTTTCTTGCCCCTAGTAACAACACCCACTTTGTAGAACCCTGGGAAAGTTTCATGAGATTATGCACGTAAAGCTCCCAGCATAGAGCCCGGTTCATAAGGAAACTGGCAGCTGGGCTACATCCCTGTCATCTCCAGTACACACTCGCCTCACTCCAGTCACATATTTCACTGGCCCTTCAGCTCCTCCAGGAAGCTCCCTTGCCTGCCACCCCTTTACCAGAGTGTCTCTTGCACTTTCAACCCTTAGTGTGTTCTATCTCACCAAACAAGCCTTTGTTTTCACCCCTTGTTTATCCGTTAGGTTCCAAGTCCCCTCAAAGGTGGGAACTGTATCTGAATGCCCCTCAGCATCTAGGGCCTGGTTTTGCATGCAGAGAGTGGGTAATAAATACGGACTATATGATTCACTCATCTTCCCATCGAAGAGTGGTGAGGAGGCCCCGATTCAAATCCCACTCTGCACTTCCTAGCTGCGTGAGCCTGGACGAGCTGCTGCTTCACCTCTCGGCCATCAGATATGGGTAATGCTCCCACCCGGCCTACTTCACAGGACTTCAGAGACACTATTAAAATAGTGGTGGTAAAAAGTTTTTAAAAGATAGCCCTGGCTGGTGTTGGTCAGTGGACTGAGTGCCAGCCTGAGAACCACAAGGTCACTGGTTTGATTCGCAGCCCCAGCACAAGCCTGGATTGTGGGCCAGGTCCCCAGGAGGGGGCGTGTGAGAGGGCGTCTCTCCCTCTCTTTCACCCTCCTTTCCCCTCTAAAAATAAATAAAGTCTTTAAAAAAACAAACAAGCCCTGGCTGGCGTAGCTCAGTGGATTGAGCACAGGCTGGGAACCAAAGTGTCCCAGGTTCGATTCCCAGCTAGGGTACATTCCTGGGTTGTAGGCCATAACCCCCAGCAACCGCACATTGACGTTTCTCTCTCTCCCTCTCTCTCTCTCTCTTTCTCTCTCTCTCACTCCCTCCCTTCCCTCCCTAAAAATAAATAAATAAAAAATCTTTAAAAACAAACAAACAAACAAACAAAAGGTTTAAAAATTTTTTTAAGATAGAAAAAAATGGTGGTGGTGATGATCGTTAATATTTATGAGGACCCACTGTGTGTTGGGTTCCAGGTTCTTGGGAATCTCCCCTAATCCTCACGACAGCCCTCAGAGACAGAAACTCTTTTTATCCCCATTTTACAGATGTGGGAGCCTGGAAGAAATTGTGGCAGAACAGGTTTGGGGAGGCAGCAGCTCCAGGGCCAGGAAGGGAAATGAGGGTGGCAGGGTGGGGCTGAGACCAAAGAAGGGAGCCAGCAAGGGGGCTGAGAGCCAACTGTGCGGTTGCGTTTCAGGCGGCTGGGGTTGGCTTTTGAGTTTCACTGCCTGGGAACTAATTCCTGCAAAGGTGTGGGGCACAGACCTGCAGTCCGCCTCCGTGAACTTGAGTTCATGCCCCATCCACCCCCAGCACTGTATTCTTGGTCAGGCCAACGGACCTCTCTGAGCCTCGACTTCCTCATCTTTGCATTTCAAATGGCAAAAGCAACCTTTCCCTTTACTGTGTGGATCCATAAGGTATAGGACATAAACTACTCAGAGGGGTGCATGCATAATGGGTCCTTCATATGTTTTAGCTAAAGTTCGTCTGAGATGAACCAGACGAGGAGGTTGTCACATGGAATCAAACTAAAATACTTGGAGATTTCCATTCATGCCTGTGGACAGAAAAAAAAACAGGGAGGGGGTTTTATGGAAAGTAACCTCACAGGGTGGTCTGATCATAAATTCCTAAGTGGGCAGGTCATGGTGGGTAGTCATGCCCCAGGCTTGTAGCTTCTTTAGGGAAAGGTTTTAAGCAACCTCCGTCCATTGTTTTTGAGCATTTGGGTAAACACACATTTGAAATACCAGAAGTTAACACCCCTAGAAGGGGATATTAACCCTAAAGAGAGCACGTAATCTTGTCAACTCTCCTGTAGTCCAGTCCCCATGTTGCTTTCTCCCACCTCCATGTGCGTTCAGGTGCAAAACGGTTATTCTCCAGAACGCCTGAGATCTTGCTCCCCGGCTTATGTTGTCAGTTTGACTCAAATAAACTCATAAAAATTCTCTACAGGTGTGGACATTTCTTAATGTCGACATGCGCTACACTTTCCCATTTCCCAGGCTCTGCTAACGTGGCTTCCTACCCACGAGGCCCTTCCTCTCTTCCATCCCCATGTGCTCAAATCTGACCCATCCTTCAAGGCCCAACTCGAAGGGTGGAGTGGCCAGAGCACAGAGTCGAAGTCAGACATTCAGCGAGGCTTCAAACCCCTTGGGAGCTGGACCGAGGCTCCGTCCTCACTGTGTGCTCTCCTCCCTGAGAGTGCCGGCACACAGGAGGGCTGCAGTCCTCGAGGATGGTGGTAAGAGCTCACACCTCCCGAGCACTTTCTCGGCGCAAAGCATCCCGCCAGGCTCTTTACATGCGTTGGTATGTTGAAACCTCCTAACTACTCTTTAACACAGGTACAATTTGGACAGATGAGGAAACTGAGGCTCAAAAATGTAAAAGGACTTGACCAAGGAGTGATTAAAGATGAAACCAGCATCAGAACGCAGATCTGCCCCCCAAGGTGCTGAGGCAATTTGCACAAAGAACTCAGCCCGGGGGCCCATGGGAAGGAGGGTGTGTTCTGCCAACGCACCAGGGCTTCCAGTGCAGCAGGCGTTGCTGGGCTTGGGACGTGTGCCTCACGGCTAAGTGAGTTAGGGATGCAGAGTCTCACTTTCCAGGTGCAGGAGCAAGGCTTGGGGGGCATTAAGCGACTTGTCCGATGTGGCACAGCTGGTAAAGGAGGAAGCCCCTGGTCCAGCCAGGCCCCAAGCCCTGGAAAAGCCCCCAAAGCAAACTTCCTTATCCTTGGTGTATCTTCTCCTGAAAAACGCCTCCGTTCCCTCTGCTCAAAGTCCTTTATATCAAAACACAAAATGCTGGCTATTAGCTTCCAGGAGACGCAGACTGCCCGTCCCAGCTTCCCCGGCGCATCATCTGTCCACAGGAATCTGCAGGCAGGGAGAAGCCACGTGGGAGCTGCAGGAAGGAAGAAACATCTGCTCCGTCTTCTTTGTGCTTCTCTGGATAGTTTTGTTCCAACCTATTCCCCAATAAGCATGTATTACTTTGTAATTGGAGGAAAAAAGCTTACATTAAAAAAAAGAAACCAGTTGTTACTTCAGGGAAGTTCTGCTCATGATAATAATACTTTACTGGAAAATTGTGGAAGGTGAGGTTCATGGGTTCTCTGGACTGACAGAGTGAACACTACATGAATGTTTGTTAAATAAATAAAACTCTGGGCTTGACACTCCTTAAGCTGTGTGCTTCGGAGCATGTCATTGCACTACTCTGGGCCTCGGTTTCTTCACCTGAGAAATGGGGCTAAACATGGCTGCCTCACAGGGCTATCGTGGTGGTTGGGTCGATCTGGGGAAGTGCGTGAATGCACTTCGTGTGAGTGCACGCGTGTTTACAGTAATATTACCAAAATGCACGGAGAAGGTAAAGGGCTTGAGTGGACGACTCTCCAAAGATGTATAGAGATCAAATGAGCACATAAAAAGACATTCAACATTCTTAGTCATGAGGAAAATGAAAATCAAAACCGCAGCAAGATTCATACCCACTGTGATAGCTGTAATCGAAAAGACTGACAATAACATGTGTGGGCCAGGATGTGGAG